AAATAATAATAATTTAATAAGAATAAATAATAAAATATAAAATGATACAATATAAAATACATATAATATATAATTTATAATATTTAATATTTCATATATAATATTTAATATATAATATATCATATATCATCATATATTGTATATAATAGTTATAATATATAATATATATTTATAATATATAATATATAATATATATTATACAATATCATATATAATATATTATATTTATAATAGATTATATATAATATTGTACATAATAAAACAATAATTAATAAAACTATTATTAATAACAATAATAAAATAATAATAGCAATAATAAAAATAGCAATAATAATAGCAATAATAATAATAATAATAATAATAATAATAATAATAATAATAATAATTCCATTTGTTTCATTGCTGATGCCTCCTGTTTATAGCCTCTCCTTTTCACTGTGGGTATTCATGGGGCTGTAAAGATTAATTATCGATTATTAATTACCAATGATGAGTTCCAGATTTCTCTGTCATTTCCCCCTCACAGACACGAAGCAGCTCTGTGAGGAGCTGCTGGGGTTTATTTTTGGTGCCGTTACGGGGTCTGGTTCTGTGCTGGGGTTTAACCTGGGAACATTTGCTGAGTGTCGAGCCTGGTTCTGGCCCCGTTCCCATTAACTGATGTCCGTGGGGATTGGTTCTCCAGGTGCAGTAAATCCCTTTCCAGCCTTTTTTGGATGCAGAAATGCAGCTCAGGTTTCGGTCCACAGCTTTTTTCCTCCTTCTCTTCCTTCTTCCTTCTCTCCTTCCATCAGTGCTGCCATTCCTTCCTCCCTTCCTTCCTTTCACAGCTTTCTCTTCCCCTCTTCCCTCTCTCCTTGCTGTCACTCCACACATTTATCTCTCCCTCCTCTCCACAGGGGATGAGGTTTCCCGCAGCCCTCAGGGACAGCCCGGGGTGACAGGGGACCCCCTGCTCATCACCAGTCCGTGTCACCCCCCAGGAAAGCAAAAAGAACATTTTAAATTCTCAGTTAGAGCTGTGAAAGGGATAAAGGAGAGGAACCCGCAGCTCCTCCCCGCCCAGCGCGGCTTTACCAGCGCCGTTGTGCGAGAAAAACCCGCTCCCGCTGTCCCTGAGACCCGCGGGGAGCCCAATTATCTTCACCTTATTTTTCAGGGAAGAACAACAAGTAAAAAGGGTCCCTCCTGGGACACCCTTCCCTTCCTTCCCTCTGATTTCCCCTCCGTCCCCGCCGTCCCCAGGCTCCCTGTGCCGGACCAAGCCCACGGACCTGGTGTTCATCATCGACAGCTCGCGCAGCGTGCGGCCGCACGAGTTCGAGAAGATCAAGGTGTTCGTGTCGCGGGTGATCGAGGCGCTGGACGTGGGTCCCAACGCCACCCGCGTGGGCATCATCAACTACGCCAGCGCCGTGCGCAGTGAGCTGGCCCTGCACAGCCCCCAGAGCAAGGCGGCCCTGCTGCAGGCCGTGCGCAGGATCCAGCCCCTCTCCACCGGCACCATGACCGGCCTGGCCATCCAGTTCGCCCTCAGCCGCGTCTTCGGCGCCGCCGAGGGCGGCAGGGACGGCACGGCCAACTTCAAAAAGGTGAGGGGGCATGGGAAGGGTCTGGCGCCTCCAGCTCCGCGCTTGGGGATCATGGTGGGGTGGTTGGGAAAAGCAGGAAGGTGAGTTTTTTTCGCTGGGCTTTGGTTGTGTGTGGACACGTGAGGAAAACCTCTGGGAGGTGCAAACCGGGGGTTTGAAAACCTCCAGGAAGTTCACACCTCTCAATTCTTCTTGGAAACCTCGGGGGGATTGAAACCTCTGGGGGTTTGAACCTCTCAACTCCTGAAAACCTCTGGGATGTTCAAACCCCTCAATTCTTGAGGATCTCTGGGAGGTTTGAACCTCTCAACTCCCTTTGGAAACCTCTGGGAGGTTCAAACCCCTCAATTCTTGAGGATCTCTGGGAGGTCTGAACTTCTCAATTCCTTCTGAAAACCTCTGGGAGGTTCAAACCTCTCAATTCTTGGAAAACTCTGGGGAGTTCGAACCTCTCAACTCCTTCTGAAAACTTCTGGGAGGTTCAAACCCCTCAATTCTTGAAGACCTCTGGGAGGTTTGAACCTCTCAACTCCCTCTGAAAACCTCTGGGAGGTTCAAACCTCTCAATTCTTGGAAAATTCTGGGGAGTTCAAACCTCTCAACTCCCTTTGGAAACCTCTGGGAGGTTCAAACCCCTCAATTCTTGAAGATCTCTGGGAGGTTTGAACCTCTCAATTCCTTCTGAAAACCTCTGGGTGGTTCAAACCTCTCAATTCTTGAAGATCTCTGTGAGGTTCCAGCCTCTCAATTCTTGGAAACATCCAAGAGGCTCAGACTTCTCAAGTCTTCTTGGAAACCTCTGGGAAGTTCAGACCTCTCAATTCTCTCTGAAGAAGCAGCTCATCTTTGGGACTTAGTGAAAGAAACTACAAAACTCGTAACACATTCAGCCTCAGTTTTTGTTGTGAATTCAGCCTGACAATTACACCCAGCACTGGCCACTCCTGGAGACTGGAGAGACATTTCCACTGAGTTGTCCATGAAAATGCTGGATCCTCATCTCCGGAATCCCTTCCACACCATCCAGTCTCCCCTCTCCTCCTGCACACCTTCCCTGCTGCCAGCCAGCCCCCCAAGCCTCGCTGATCCCTGTCACCTCTGCTTGTGTGGAACAAATTACCCTGGACTTCCAGTGTCCCCCTGAAACCTCTCCTGGACAGCTGGAAAAGCTGAGAGCAGCGGGCTTTGGAGTGATTTATCTGAGGCATTAAAAAAAAGGGGAGAAAAGGGAAATCGCTCCTTGCTTTCCCCTCTTTCCTTCCACTCCGGAGCTGATCCAAGAGGCAGAATCACAGGAAGGGGTTGGGAGAGGTCTCTGGAGCTCCTCCTGTGCTTGGTGGGGCTGCCCAGAACCATGCCAGGGTGGCTTTTCAATGTCTCCAAGGTGGAAAACTCCACAACCCTTCGTATTCTCGGTTCCCTGGTTATTTTATTTGGTTTTTTGACTCGGTCTTGACGTCCAGGCAGCTTTTCCCTTCTGCTCAGGGTGACCCCATCCCCTGCCTGGGAGGAGGAACAGGTCATGCAGGGATTTAGGGAGGTGAAGCTTCCAGAAACACCGAACACGGTCCCTGCTCCTTCCCACGGCAGAAATCCAACAAATCCTGTTGTCAACATCCCAAAACATCACACGGTGCTCTGCTCTTGCTTTGTGCAGCAAATGTCATCCCCGGCCAGGGAAAAGCACAATTTGTTTCCCTCGGAGCTGCGAGAAAAACCCGCTCCCACCGTCCTCGAGACCCGCAGGGAGCCCAATTATCTCCACCTTATTTTTCAGGGAAGAACAACAAATAAATTGGCAAATTTCTGAGCAAATCCAGGGCTTTGTGCAGCTTCCTTGGAGGGCTGCTGGAACATCACGTTCCCAGGGTAAAAATGAGCCATCGCTCCCTCATTAGCTGTGGGATGGCCGGGAAATGCCAGCCTGGGGCTGGGAATACCTGGAATGTTCAGGAATGTTCAGGAATGTTCAGGAATGCTCAGGAATTCTCGGGTGTTGGAGATAGCCAGCAATAGATTGTGTCAGAACACGTGGGATTTCTGTCTGGTGGAAGGATGAGTGATCCAGAATGCCAGGAATTCACAGGGAAAGCTGCTGGATAAATGAGCACAAAGTTTGACCTTGAAAAGCAAAATTTCTGAGTTTTCCCAGGGAAAAAGTGAGGATCAGGGGGAAATTCAGCTGTTGGGGGCAGCAGAAGCTTCACCTTTTCATAATTCCCATCCCATGGCCGAGCAGTGCCAGCCCCTCCAGGATCCAGAGGCTGCTCCTGCCCTCCAAGCCTTTCCCAAAAAACCAGGACTCAGCTTTTCCAGTGACAGGGAATTACAGAGATCCCCAGACTGCAAACAATGTGGAGGTAGGTTCGAAAATAAGAATAACAACAAAAAAAAGGACATTTTTTCACATTGACTCAGGCTGGATGCAGGGAAAATATCTCTGGTGGGAATCCTAGGAAAAAAACCACAAACCAGGATTTCCTGATGGTTGGGCTAACCAAATGTGATATTAAGAGGTATTTTTTATGCTCTGTCAGGCTGTCACAGACAGGTCCCCTGGCTTCCTCTCGCTGATAAATTCATTTCCCCCATGATTAATTCCCAATCCCGACTCTAGACCCAGAAGTTTTGTTTTCTCCACCAGCAGGGTAGAAAGTCCTTTATGGCAGATTTCCACACAGGCACTGTGAGGATCTCACCCATCACACCCAGGTGTGGATGCTGCAGCTCCACCCCGGCTGGGGCTTAGCTGGGCTCGGGCTTAGCTGGGCTCGGGCTTGACGGGGTTCAGGCTTAGTTGAAGATGGAGAGGAGCTGATAAAACCTGGAGAATTTCTTGATTTAGGAAGAGACTTAGGGTTTGGTCCCTGATTTGGTAACATCTCCCATTCCCTGATTTGATGACTCCTCCAATCCCTGGTTTGATAACTCCTCCCATTCCCTATTTCACCTCTCATTCCCAGATTTGATAACTCCTCCAATCCCTGATTTCACCTCTCATTCCCGGATTTGATAACTCCTCCAATCCCTGATTTCACCTCTCATTCCCGGATTTTTTCGCACACTTTGTGGCGCTGCACAGGCGGAGCGGCCCGGCTGGAGCTGAGCCTGAGCCGAGGGCTCTCTCTCCTGGCAGAGAGCTCCACTGCAGGGTGGATCCGCTCCAGGAAAACCACGGATCTCCTCTGCCATCCCCATTCCCCCCACCCCCCACCCCCACACCTGCCACAGGTGATGCTTCGCTTTATTTTTGCCACTCTAGAAGAGAAAGATTTGAATTTATTTATTTTTCCCCCCCTTGGAAGCACCAGTTGCGGAATTGTGATGCTCCTGGGAATTTTTAATTGTGCAGCCCTTAGGAAGTGCAGATAAAGAGCTGAAATCAGATTGTAAAGCCCCACATTTTTCCTGTTTCTCCCATTTTTTACAGAGGGGAAGCTCTTCCCCCATTCTGCATTCCAGCCCGAGCCATTCCTTTGGAGTCGGCAGCGGTGTCTCAATAAATCAGTTGTAAGGAAAAGTGGCAGGGGCAGAAGAATTGGCAAAGAGCAAGAATTCAGGTCCTGTGACAAAGTCTCTTTCAGGAGAAAAATAAAGAGGAAAAGGGACAAAGCAGAAGCACAGCTCTGGGAGGCTTTTAACTGGTTCAGGGCTCCGTTTAATCCAAGCTGAAATCCGGGTCCCACTTAAACCAGCTGCCACTTTAATGCTGGGCTTAGCAGGGCTGGGGTTTAATCCCTGCTGTTTATTTTGGACCAGAGAATCACAAATCCTGTGATTCTCACAGGGGGGCCTCGGGCCTCTTCCCCTCTCTCCCCATGGAAACGGTTTCAGTTCCATCCTTCAGCTCCTCCACCTGTAAATGGGATGGAGCCTTCATCTCACGTTTCCATGACATTTCCTGAGCTTCTGTGAAGTCCCACACTCATCTGGGCTTGTCCTGAGTGTCCCTGAAGATCTTTAGTTTGTCTTGAGCTGGAGTTTGGCTATGAACAACATAAATTTTAATTTCGTTTCCTTAGAGGGGGATGCACCAGTTGTCCCTTGGTGAAAACATCAATCCCTGGAAGTTGTCTCTTGATGAAACCATTCAATCCTTGGAAAAGTTTAACTTTTCCAGCTCGGAAAGAAACTAATTCCACCTAAAAAATAATAATAATAAATAAATAAAAATGGTTTGTGTGATCTCCAGAGAATGGGAAGAGCTGGTGGATTCCCTTTTCCCTCAGTTTTAGGAATGCAAACCCTTGCTCCTGCCCCAGCCTGTTCCATGGAAAGGGGAAATTCCATGGGAACAGCACGGGAATGTGAAGGAGGCCATGGCTGCCCTCCCAGCCCGTCCCTCCCACTGCAGGTGGCCATCGTGGTGACCGACGGCCGGCCCCAGGACGGGGTGCAGGACGTGTCCACCCGCGCCAGGGCCGCGGGCATCGAGATCTTCGCCATCGGCGTGGGCAGGGTGGACATGGGCACGCTGAGGCAGATGGCCAGCGAGCCCCTGGACGAGCACGTGGACTACGTGGAGAGCTACAGCGTCATCGAGAAGCTGACCCACAAGTTCCAGGAGGCTTTCTGTGGTGAGTCCCTGCCAGCCAGCGGGGAACTGGGAATGGTTTGGGTGGGAAGGACCTTGAAGCTTTGCAGAGAATCTCGGGATGGTTTGGGTAGGGAAGGACCTTGAGGCTTTGCAGAGAATCCCGGGATGGTTTGGGTGGGAAGGATTGGAAAGCTCGTCCTGCCTGAAGCCACCTCCTCCTCCTCCTCTCCTGGCAGTGGTGTCCGACCTGTGTGCCACGGGGGACCACGACTGCGAGCAGGTGTGTGTCAGCACCCCAGGGACCTACAGGTGTGCCTGCAGGGACGGCTTCAGCCTCAACAGCGACGGCAAGACCTGCACCGGTACGTGAGGGGTGCCTGAGCCCGGCCCGGAGGGCACGGCAGGGACAGCACGGGGATGTTCTGCTCCCAGAAGGCAGAAGGGGAAACCCTGCTCTCACAAGCAGGATTTCAAAGCATTGCTGTGATCTCTTGTTGTGTTTTCTTGGGTTAACCCCATCCCCTCAATAAGTGGCATTAAGTTCTGTTTTCCTGCATCATTTATTGCAGTCTTTACTGCTGTTTCCTTCTGCCCTGTTCTCGTGTTTTCCCTCAGCTTGCAACGGTGGCTTGGGGTCTGCTCTGGATCTCGTGTTCCTCATCGACGGCTCCAAGAGTGTGAGGCCTGAGAACTTCGAGCTGGTGAAGAAATTCATCAACCAAATCGTGGATTCGCTGGAGGTGTCGGACAAGCAGGCCCAGGTTGGGCTGGTGCAGTACTCCAGCTCTGTCCGGCAGGAGTTCCCCCTGGGGCAGTTCAAGAACAAGAAGGACATCAAAGCAGCGGTGAAGAAAATGTCCTACATGGAGAAGGGGACCATGACAGGCCAGGCTCTCAAGTACCTCGTTGACAGCTCCTTTGCTGCCATCAACGGGGCGCGCCCCGGGGTCCCCAAGGTGGGGATTGTCTTCACCGATGGGCGCTCACAGGATTATATCTCAGATGCTGCCAAGAAAGCCAAGGACTCAGGTAGGGCTCCTGAATTCCCAGGGCTCCTTTCTGACCTTTCCCCTGGCTGTGTCTCCTGGGATACAAACGGGTTATAATCATTAATTCTGGGGAGGCGCTCCCTGACTATCCTTGCTTGGAGCTCGCAGAGACCTCGGAGCACCTCAGCCCGGGGTCAGGTTTGCCAAGAGCTGGTTTTACTTCCCCTCCGTGTCTCTGGAGGAGTTTCTGCTGGGCAGGGTGGAGTTCCACCCCATTGGGATGGGATGGACAGGATGGAGTTCCACCCCATTGGGATTAGATGGACAGGATGGAGTTCCACCCCATTGGGATGGGATGGACAGGATGGAGTTCCACCCCATTCGGATGGACAGGGTGGAGTTCCACCCCATTGGAATGGGATGGACAGGATGGAGTTCCACTCCATTGGGATTAGATGGACAGGATGGAGTTCCACCCCCTGGAATGGGATGGACACGGTGGAATTTTACCCCCCTGGAATGGGATGGACAGGATGGAGTTCCACCCATTTGGAATGGGAGGGACACGGAATTTTACCCCCCTGGAAAGGGTACCCAGGTCTAATTGCTCCACACAAATGTGGAAGGAAACTGCAGGGGGAATTTCGAAGTCAGAGGTTTCAGCACCTCCAGGGCTGGACAGGGCTTGGAGGAACCTGGGAAAGTGGAAGATGGTGAGACAAGAGGAGCTTTAAGGTCCCTCCTAACCCAAGCCTGTCTGGGATTTGTCTGGGCTTGGTCAGGAACCCCAGCCCAGCACCAGAGGCAGAGGGGACAAGGACACCCAATCCCAGGAGCTGTAGGGCCAAGTGTGGCTTGGAAAAGGCCTGGAAAAGGCCGAGAAAAAGCCACAAAACAATAAACAAAGCACAGACACGGATTGAGGAGGAGCCCCAGGCACATTCATGAGAAACTTTCCTCAGCTGCTGTTGTAGGAAAAGCGCTCAGTGGCCACTCACTGACGGATCTCTGTGCCAGAGCCCCATGAAATATTAATTCCTTGAGAGCTGTCCCTTTGCTGACCCGCTGAGCACATTCCCAGCCTCTGACACCTCCGTGTTAAATGGATCCAGCCCCTGGGAATTCAGTCAGGAATTGCTGGATCCTTCCCTTCCCTTTAACTTCTCTCTCCACCACTAGATGGGACTCGGGGCCAGCACATCTCCGGGAAGGTCAGGGAGCTCGTGAAAAACCAATGTTTACAAAGCACTCTGACATCTTACAGGGCTGCTCAGCTCTTATAAAACAAAAGGTTCCTATAAAGTGTATTTATAGAATTTATTCCTCCCCGGTGATAAAACCATGCCTTGTCTCTCCCTCCTCTCCTGTCCCTGCAAGGAAATCTCTTATCTGTCCATAAGTTATTGCTGTGGGATAAACAAGTGCTTAAAATGAGACTGCAAAATTGTTCAGTGAGCTGAGCCTTGGAAAAAACAACCAATATTGGATATATCTGGAGAAAGGCTAAAAGGGGAGCAGGGAAACATTCCCAGTGCCTGGGCACGGACACGTAGAGACAAATATTTCAAATCAGGGCTTAATTAATATCACCCAAAATGGGAAAATTGCATTTCCGTTCAGTAGAAGCAGGTTTGATGCAGATCAGCCTCTTGGCGGAGCAGGACGATCCCTGGACAAGTTCTTCACTCCTGGGGGGCTGCAGTTTTAGACAGAGGCTCAGCTCAGTGCTGCTCTCCCAGGTCTCCACTGCAGGGGGACTTTGCCCCTCAGGGGCTCATTAACAGGGGTTAATTAACAGTGGCTGAGCCTCTTTTGGAGACCCTCACTGTTTCCCTTTGCTCCATTATCACTCCCATACCGGTGGGATGGGGTGACCATCACCTGCCCCTTCTCACCTCTCCAAAATCCTGTCCTAGCTGCCATTGCCTGGGAAATTCTGGTTAAACTCTGCCCACAGAAATATTTCGGCCCCTTGTTTGACCTGGCTGAAAGGAGCTTCTCCAAAACCTTGTTCTTGTGGCCACGGTGCCCACGGTCTGGTAAATTGTAATAAAATCTTCACCTGTGAAAATGTTCATGCCCAGTTTGACCTGGCTGAAAGGAGCTTCTCCAAAACCTTGTTCTTGTGGCCACGGTGCCCACGGTCTGGTAAATTGTAATAAAATCTTCACCTGTGAAATAATTTTTGGCCAGTTTGACCTGGCTGAAGGCAGTCTGGGGTGGCAGAGGTGACGAGGTAATTCCCAGTTGGCATCTGGAGCTGTGTAGGGGGAGGATGAGGATGTCCAGCCTGGCGGGGCGGCACCGTGCCAGCTCCAGGCCGCTGACGGGATCCCCTTCCCGGCAGGATTTCGGATGTTTGCCGTGGGGGTCGGCAACGCCGTGGAGGATGAGCTGAGGGAGATCGCCTCAGAGCCGGTGGCTGAGCATTATTTCTACACCGCCGACTTCAGGACCATCAGCAGGATCGGGAAGAAGCTGCAGATGAAGATCTGTGTTGGTGAGGGGGGACTGGGGCTCGCTCGCAGCATTCGGGACGAGAGGGATGGAAACGCCCTTGGAGGAGCTGCAGATGCTCCGTGCTGGGACTTGGGGTGGAGGTTTATTCACAGCGCCTAAAGGCTGGAGTGGAGGGATGAAAATGTCCCCGAGGAAGCTGCAGGTCTTCAAACTCTCTTGGTGAGAGGGGATTGGGGTGGATTGGGTCCCAGTGTTTGAAGGCTGGAGTGGAGGGATGAAAATGTCCCTGTCCCCAGCGTGTGGAGCTGGCAGAACACCCAGAACACCAGGACACATCAGTGTCGGTATTTTGGGTGGTCACCTGAAGCAAAGCAACCCCCACACCTCAGGCCGTGTCCCCCTCTCCCAAATCCCCTTCTCCTTCCTTTTCCCTCCACCTTCCTGCCCTTCTTCTTCCCCAGAAATGGTGAATTTGTCTCCAGGCTCCTAAAACCAGCATTTCCTTTCCTCCTGGAGAAGCTGGAGAGGGATAATCCCCCTGTCTCCAGAGCCAAGATTGCAAGGCAGAGACTCCTTTCCAAGCCTCCTTAAAAAATTAGGATCAATCCAAGAACAGGAGGATGGAATCTATGTGAAACCACCAACAAATTGTACTTAAAAATCATTCAAACACATTTAGGCTTCAGCCTTCAAAAAAAAAAAAAAGTAAATTTCAGAAAAACTATTTGTAAAATATCAATTTGGGTAAACATGTTTACATTTGAGTATTAAAAGGAAGGCAAGGAGATATTTGCATTTCTTTGATTGCCAGTGCCAGTTTGTATTTCTCAACAGCTGCCTGGAAATCTTCTGTTAATCTCCAGCTTTAGGTTAGTCCTGGCTGGTTTAAACCTGTTGTGTTTTGGTGCCTATGACTCATTCCCTTTAAAAATTCTATTTTATTTCCTCCTTTGCTCAGCTTGGAGTGGCCTTGGAACCCCTCACTTCTTTCCCAGTCATCTTTTGCCTCCTGTTCCAGCCTAAGTTAATTTTCCTTGAAGAACAGATGCAAATCAGTGACATAAATTAGCAAACTTACTAAATTAGCAAACTGATTAACGCTCACGGTTCCACCCCTCAAGGACTGGGGTTGCTGAAGCTCAAACCAGTCTGGATGGCAGCGGTGCCTCCAGTTTTCACTGGATGTTGTTGGGGAGACAGAGGTTTCTTTTATTTGGTCAGACTCCAATTTTAGGGCAAACCTGAAGCATCAGGAGCAGAGCTCAGTGGGTTCCCACAGGAAGGAATTTTCATGGCTGGAATACCAGAAAAATGTGGCACTCTCTGTTCATCTGAGGTTAAAGCCAGGAGAGATCAATCAGATAATTAGAAATAATTATATTTTTATTTCCTTCCATCTCTGACATAGAAAACAGGAATTGTTCTGTTTCACTGGGCTCAGTGATTTTGATTAAATCCATTTTTTTGGTGCCACTCTTGCTGTTGTGACCCACAGAGGAAGATCCGTGTGAGTGCAAATCCATCGTGAAGTTCCAGACCAAGGTAGAGGAGCTCATCAATTCCCTGCAGCAGAAACATATCCTTTGGAAGTCTGGCCAGGATTGGGTGGGCTGGGATTTCCAGAGGGAAAGTTCTGCTCCTGGGGGAAGGAGCTGGGCCAGGTTCAGGAAGATGGGAATGCCAGAGGGGATGGGGACAGATTCCCTCTGCTCCTGCTCCCATCCTTACCTGTGCTGCCGGCCTGGGATCGTGGAATTATTGCGAGGTTTGGGTGGGAGGGGGCTTAAAATTCATCCAGTGTCACCCCAGACATGGCAGGGTCACCTCCCACTGTCCCCAGGGTCACCTCCCACTGTCCCAGGGTCACCCCCACTGTCCCAGGGTCACCCCCACTGTCCCAGGCTGCTCCAGCCCCAATGTCCAGCCTGGCCTTGGGCACTGCCAGGGATCCAGGGACAGCCACAGCTGCTCTGGCAATTCCAGCCCAGCCCCTCCCCACCCTGCCAGGGAACAATTCCTGCCCAAGATCCCACCCAAATCTCTCCTCTTTTAGTTAAAACCTTGTCCCATCACTCCGTGCCCACATAAAAAAAAAAGTCTCTCAACATTCCCTGTTATTTTTCCTCCTTAACTCCTCCTCACTGGAAGCTGTGGCCAAAAGGATCGAAGCCCTGGAGAACAAGATCATCTAAAACCTCTCCCCAGCAGATTTTCACCTCCTTCCCAAAGTAACAGAACCAGAACTGCTCCACTTTTCAGGGAGGACAGCTCAGCCCCAGGGCTCTGGGCAGCTTTTATTAAGGTCTAAGCTACCTGCATTTGTTTAAAAGAAAGAATTATTACAGTAGAGTTTTTATAAAGGGCAGAGCACAGGGTGTGACAGGCCAGGCTCAGGTTTGTTGCATCCCATAGAGTGCATATATTCAAAAAAAAAAAAAAAAAAAACAGAAAGATTTTTTTTATTTAAAGCTTAATATATATAGAGTGTGTTAATTAATGAGTATTTGATGATGAGTTCTGTGAATCCTCTGCTGCAGCTTTTGTTCCTATGCATGAGATAATTTAATTTAAAAGTCGGGGTGACTCGGTGTCACCCTCAGCTGCTGGGTGTGAGCTCCAAAGCTGAGCTGCTGTCGCTGTCAGTGATCAGGTGAGCTTTAGTCCCAACCCTGAGCCTGCTCTGCAGGCGGCCTGGGCCAGGCTGCTCAGGCTGGGCTTAGGAACAGCAACGGGAAAAGCTTTCCCAGGGGAATGCTGGCAGCGTCCCAGAGCCTGGGCTGAGCCTGCAGGGACCCTGAGTGAGCCAGCAGCCAGATGTGCCCGGCTCTGGGTGACCCTGTGTGAGCCACCAGCCAGATGTGCCCGGCTCTGGGTGACCCTGGCAGGACTCAGGGACCCTCTGTGGCCCTGCCACCAGCCAGATGTGCCCAGCTGTGTCCCCACACCCTCAGCTGGAGCTCCAATCCGTGCCCCCAGGCCGGGAATGCTGCTGGAGCTGCCCTGGAAGCAGAGCCTCGATCCCTGCGCCCTCCCTGGCTCAGCCCACAGCCGGGAGCAGCTCCCGAGCTCAGCACAGAGCTGTCAGCTCCTCCTGCTCCTGGATCCCCTGGGAATGTGGGCTGGGAGCAGCTCTGCCTGTCCCTGCAGCTGTGCCACCGAGCCCCATGGCACCAGCGGCTGCTCTGGGGGAGCTTTATGGGGTTTATGGGTTCGTTTATGGGTTTGGGGGGTTTTGTATCAAAATATTTATACTTGAGACTACGTGAGAAAAGCTTTTTGGGGCAACTTGGCCTGTTCAGAAGTGTCACAGAGCAGATGTGGTTTGGGTTTGGGGGAATATTAAAAGTTTGCTGGAAATTTGGGAAGCCAGCGTCGTCCTTTGTGTGAGTGCTGAGGAGGCTGCCTGAAAACACCACCTCTCCAAAGGCTCCGGAGTGGGGGGAAATCATCTCATTCACATCCTCTTATCCCTTGGACAGAGGAGCTTTATCTCCCCTTTATCTCCCCTTTATCCTCCCTTTATCTCCACGTTTTGCTCAGCATTTTCCCAAAAGTTTCTCTGCCCACCCCTCCCCTCCATCAATCAAGGAGAGATCTCCAGATTTCCCGGGGTATTGCTCACTAAATCCCCAATCCCAGCTCAACTCTGGATCACCCCTCTCCCAGGAAATTCCCCCTCGAGGAGCCCGACCTCAGACTGGGCCATAAATAACAAAAATCAAAAGGAGTTTTTGTTCCCGGTGCTCCAGATCCATTGTCAGAGGCAGGATTGTTTCTGTGAGGAATATTCGGGGCTGTGGTGCAGATAAAGCAGAACTAAACTAATTACCAATCCTTCTTCTCCCTTCCCCTTAAAACAACAAAAGCCGTGCCGGAAGCCAATTAGTCACCGGGCTCCTGACGTTCTAATTAGGCTTCATTAATGAATGCCCAGGGGCAGCGGGACCGGCAGAGGAGAATCCTGAGCTTCCCCTCAGCTCAGGGAATCTGGGAAACAAAGGATCCTGCACAACCCAACAGCATCGATGTCCCAAACCCCGCAGGGATGTCCCAGACCCCGCAGGGATGTCCCAAACCCCGCAGGGATATCCCAGACCCCGCAGGGATGTCCCAGACCCCGCAGGGATGTCCCAAACCCCGCAGGGATATCCCAGACCCCGCAGGGATGTCCCAGACCCCGCTGGGATGTCCCAGACCCTGCAGGGATGTCCCAAAGCCCGCAGGGATGTCCCAGACCCCGCTGGGATGTCCCAAACCCCGCAGGGATATCCCAGACCCCGCAGGGATGTCCCAGACCCCGCAGGGATGTCCCAGACCCCGCAGGGATGTCCCAAACCCCGCAGGGATGTCCCAGACCCCACTGGGATGTCCCAAACCCTGCAGGGATGTCCCAAACCCCGCAGGGATGTCCCAAACCCCGCAGGGATGTCCCAAATCCTGCTGGGATGTCCCAAACCCCGCTGGGACGTCCCAAACCCCGCAGGGATGTCCCAAATCCCTCAGGGATGTCCCAGATCCCACAGAGATGTCCCAAATCCTGCTGGGATGTCCCAAATCCCTCAGGGATGTCCCAAATCCTGCTGGGATGTCCCAAATCCTGCTGGGATGTCCCAAATCCTGCTGGGATGTCCCGGGAGAGGCCTGGATGCGGGAGGGTGAAACAATCCCGCTGCACAGAGGGAACTTCCCTTCCCTTCCCGCACCTTCCCTTCCCCATCCTTTAGGATTTTCCCGACAATTGCTGATGCCCCATCCCTGGGAATACTCCGGGCCGGTTTGGGTGGGGTTGGAATCAAACTGATCTCCTGAGGATGTCCCTGCTCGCTGCCCAGATGAGCTTGGAACGCCCTTTCCAATCCAAACCATTCCGTAACTTTGTGACCTTGCACAGACCCCACTCCCTCCTTCCACTTCTCCACCGGAATTCCCAGGTCCCTTCACACCTCCAGGCAAAATAATTTATAGATTATTGTCCTTTGGACGTGGATGAAAAGTCCTTGGCTACTTTTCCCTGCCTCCCGTTGGTGCTGGAGCCCTGGGAAGCCTGGAGCTCTTTTCCCTCTGGGGAAGCGATTTCCTCCTGCAGGGCACGGATATCACAACACAGGGTTCCTAATTAGTAATCAAATTAAAAACTGCTTTCAATTAAACCCAGGGCTGGCATCTTTCAGCAGCAATTTGTAACATTCACGCCCTGTAATTGCCGCTAACGGAGGGGTGGGGAGCACAGCGGGAATTATTGGGGTTTTTCTGGAATCGGACTGGGATCCCAGTAAATGGGAATGGGAGCGGTTCCCTGCCCTCAGGGGCTCCTGGGGGGCACCAGGTTGGTTTCCCCCTTTCCTGGGTGGAGGAAGTGAATCCCAAGAATAAATAAAAATGAATAAAAAATGATAAAAACTGTTCCTGCCCTCCGGGGAAGAAGCCCCAGATCCAGGCAAGGATGGCAGGGCTGGGAACTGGGGATTCCCCATTCCTCATAAACTGGGAGCAGGGAATTCGGCACCTCAGCACACCTGGGCTCAGGTGACACAGGGAGCTCCTGGCCCAGTGATCCCAGCTGGATCCCCCTGGGATCTCAGGGGTTCTGTTGTTGGACCTTCCAGAACAGCATGAAGTGAATCATTCCCCGGGGAAATCACTCCCTGCCCTTTCCTGCTCCTCCAGAGCCATCACCTGGATTTGGGATTTTATCACCGTGCCCATAAATTATCCACTGTGCCCCAGCAGCTAATTGGAAAAAAAGTTAATTACTGATAGCAAAGTCTGCTTTGGGAAAAAAAGGATTAATTTCAAACCTGTATGGGGAAGATCTTGATAGCAGCAGGTGGAAGGGAAAAATTTAAGGCGGTTGTAAATTGGGGGAGGAAGATAAAATGGTAAATGGAAATGGTTTTGGAGCTGAAGTGCAGCCTTTAGGGCAGAGATGGAAAATCCTCAGCCCCACAGAGCCTTTCCTCCTGGAAATGAGGGAGAGAAGTGAAAGCGGCTGGAAGGAGGCTGTCCATCCCAGGGATGCTGTGCACTTGTCGCCGTGCTCACTAGATGTCCCCACGTGAATACAGATCGGGGCTGGCACCCCGAGCCCGGCTCCTGTCCCTGTCCCTGTCCCTGTCCCTGTCCCATCCCTGTCCCATCCCTGTCCCTGTCCTGTCCCTGTCCCTGTCCCTGTCCCTGTCCCTGTCCCATCCCTGTCCCATCCCTGTCCCTGTCCTGTCCCTGTCCCTGTCCCTGTCCCTGTCCCTGTCCCATCCCTGTCCCATCCCTGTCCCTGTCCTGTCCCTGTCCCTGTCCCTGTCCCTGTCCCTGTCCCATCCCTGTCCCATCCCTGTCCCTGTCCTGTCCCTGTCCCTGTCCCTGTCCCTGTCCCTGTCCCTGTCCCTATCCCAGCCGGTAACTGATGGCAGCGCCAGAGCCGCTCCTCCCCGGGCTGCGATCTTCAGCCAGTGCAGCCAGCAAAGTGGAGAGGATCAATAAATAAATGAATCAATAAATAAATGGATCAATAAATAAATGGATCAATAAAGAAATGGATCAATAAAGAAATAGATCAATAAAGAAATGGATCAATAAATAAATGGATCAATAAATAAATGGATCAATAAAGAAATAGATCAATAAAGAAATAGATCAATAAATAAATTGATCAATAAAGAAATGGATCAATAAAGAAATAGATCAATAAAGAAATAGATCAATAAATGCGCTGCCCCGCGGGGTGTGCGGACCTGGAGGCTGCGGGACTCGCTCCCTGCATCCAGGGGATGCTCCGTCTTCATCCTCTGGGCACGGCCGGGCCCACGGGAGTCCTTCCCTGTCCTTCTGTATCCTTCTGTATCCTTCCCTGTCCTTCCCTGTCCTTCCCTTTCCTTCCCTTTCCTTCCCCATCCTTCCCCATCCTTCCCTTGTCCTTCCCTCTCCTTCCCTTGTCCTCCCCTGTCCTTCTCACCCCTGCCCTGCATCTGGAACCTGCTGCTGGTTCCTCCCCAGACGAGCCCCAGTCCCCGGGTTTTGCCCTCCCCGTTTCCCTGCTGCTCTGATTTCTCTGCTCTGGGAGCTGAGTTTTCCTGGGCTCGTGTTTAGGGATGATCCCACGGGAGATCCCGCTCCTGCTCCCGCTCCCCTCGCGGGTGCTGATCTCCAGGGTTGCGGATCCTCAGGCTCGGGGTTTATTCCCTCTGCAGTTCCTGAT